AACGCTGACTAATTCCTAGGCTGTGGTCTGAACCCCCAGACTCACCCTATCCGGCATCGAAAATGGAAACACTGACTAATGCCTAGGTTGTGGTCTGAATATCGTGAGATATATAACCCCCAGACTCACCCCTATCCGGCATCGAAAATGGAAACACGGACTAATGCCTAGGCTGTGGTCTGAATATCGTGAGATATATAACCCCCAGACTCACCCCTATCCGGCATCGAAAATGGAAACACTGACTCATGAAGCTCGTCCGATCACTTCATAAAAGAAACAAAGACTCCAAAGCTCTTCAAAATAAAAGTATAGGGAAAATACTAATAAAGTACTCTCGTACGCTCCCGTACCCCGACACGTAATAGTGTCAAAAAGAAGAACTAACGGATGAACACATAGTTCAAAAACACTTAATGAACATATAGTTCGAGAACACCTTATGAACATATAGTTCAAACATACCTACCGATTACAAGTGTGCTAACGTTCCACTGGACTATCTAAAATAGTCTGTGGCCGTTGTCTATACTCTGCTAGATGACTAGATCATCTTAAACATCGATACCTCTCATCACCTTTATTTCATCACACATCATCTAATTCATTTACCCATGTTTTACCCAACATATTTGTAGATAAAAATACATATACAGTTTAAAACTTGTATAAAACATCTATTCAACAGTCACATTAATTAAACAATTAATATAATTACACATAACACGTATTTTAAAGAAAATACTTCATATATATGTGTAAGGTGAAAGTGACTATACACTCACTTGATAACACGATGATCAGACAGCACCTCGTCTCTTAAAATAATCTTTTCCGATAAAACCGGGACGTTTTCTCCAAAATCGGGCTTTACGCGGGTAGAGTCTCGGCTCGGAAACTTTGCTTCTCGGGATCTTCGGGGCTTCGGGACTTGCTTCGGGGCTCGGGAATGATACCGGGGCTTCGAGGTATCTCTTGCACGAAAATCGATGCAAAATGGGAGAGAGAGAAGAGAAAATGAGCAAAGGAATCGGCTGCCCTCACATTCTATTTATAGGGTGCTGAAACTCGATTTACGCTGGGCGTAATTTCGGAGTACGCTGGGCGTACTCTTCGGATAAGCTTTGGTATGCGTGCCACGATCTTCAAAAATTCATAACTTTCGCATACGAGCTCCGTTTTTGACGTTCTTTATATCCACGCATAGTTGAGACTATGCTCTACAACTTTCATTTAGACTCCGTTGCCTAATTTTGACTTTATTGTTATTATATTATTTTTAGTAGGCCGGGACAGGAAAAACTCCGTTATAAAATCATAACTTCTTCATCCGACGTCCGTTTTCGTCTGTCTTTTTACCGTTGGACTACTAACGATGAGATCTTCAATTCTCGTTTAGATTGTTTCGGCTAAATATCGCTCGATCTCATATTCGAACTTCGGGTTGTACACTGCTAAGCCGAAATTTCGAAAAATCATAACTTCCTCATACGAAGTCAGATTTAGACGTTCTTTTTATGCACGCTCTCGGTTTAACGTATTCTACGACTTTTGTGTAGATCGCTAAATCCAAATATCGCTCTATCGTAAATTCACTATTTACGTCGCGTTGTGTCGTGTCGGTTCTGTCGCGAAACTTCGACAGGTCATAACTTCTCCGTTATAACTCGGATTTCGGCATTCTTTATATTTTCGGAAACCTTGTGACATATACCTCAACTTGGTTAAGATTATTCATTCTAAATAAACTTTCATCAAAAAGTCATTTTTGATGCTTATCGTCTCTAAATTGACTAGCCCGGATCTACGAGAGTTACACGATCGTTGTCCACTGTTTTGAGTTAATAGATTCAGTTTGTGAAATTCTCGATTTGTTTCTGGGATTTTTTTTGTTGCTGTTTGTTGTGCTTGTTTGTTGTGCTTGTTGCTGTAGATTGTTGATGAGTTAAGATATTTTTGTTGGTGTTTGTGAAATTCTGATGGTTAGATCAAGTTTCTTAGATCTTATGCCAGCTCTCTTTAATGTAAATTTTCAACTTGTTGAAATCAATTGACTTGAATTTAATTTTGACTGTATGTGAAATTCCTTTTGATTTTGGGTTTGTGATTCTATAATACACCCATGGTTTGATCAAATTTCCTTTATGCTGATGGTTCGATAAAGCTTCTTTTATGGTTTGATGTGGTTTATTTTTAGGATTTGCAGCTACAACGGTCTATATGGCGGTCTATATAGTTAACTGAATGTTAAATTACCTTTTATTTTGGGTTTATGATTCTATAATACGAGTGAGTTTTTAGTAGATGATTGTATTAGCTTGAAGTTAGATCAGAGGGATTAAAATGGTGTTTATTTATATGATTAGTAATGGCTTCGAGCCGGATTTTGTAATACAAAAAGGTACGAGATTTATACAGGAGAAGAATAAGTTCAAGATCATTTTCTATATGGTTAACTGTATGTTAAAAACCTCAAGAATGTGTGAAGTATACACGTGTTAAGAAATATACAAGTGTCCATTATAAAAATATTGTTTGGGAGGTAATATAGTCAATTTATATAGTCAGTCATATACAAAATCAAACAACAAATTTCAGTCGGAAATTAACTCAGTCAGAAATTCTAACACAGTCAGCTTCTAACCTAGTCTGATAGACAATCAAATCGTTACAAAAAAATACCACATGAATGATCGGAGTTTTAAAAAAAAAAGAATAAGGGACCAAGCATGTAAATTACCTTAAATCAAAGGGAACATTCGTGTAATTTACTGCATTTTATTTGAAATTTGATATCAATATTGCTATAATTTTTTTTTTTTGGCATTGGATGAATTGGTGTTATTGAATTAGAACACTTTTAAATTTTGAGTATAGTCACGTAAATGCATTTGGCCAAAAGTCTTCCATACAAAGACTTTGAAGTCAACAAAGTAAACCCCAAATAACACTCAAACACAAAAAAGAGCGTCGTGATTGATGCACTAAGCTTCTTTCTAGAGGAATTTTTTATGCAACTTCTCTATAGGGGCCATGATTGGCAACTCCCAAGGAGTAGGAGTTACTGTTTTAACCTTTTTTGGGTTACGTCTGCAAAGTCTGCAAACTATGGTTTGACTGATATAACTCACCATTATATAGTTGTTTGTATTTCTTTTTATTATTGTTTTTTTGAAATAGTACTTTTATTATTGTTGGGTATACATAGAATGAATTTAGGGACAGACACATTATAAAATGATATGCACTTATTCTTTTGGGAGGGTGAATAGGACGTGGACACAAGGGTGTTTATTATATAATTAATAATTCGTTTTATTTTTTTGTTAGGTTTTGCTATTACTTTTTTTGGTAGCTCAACATGTAATCTCTACCCACTTATGCATTTACAGCACAACGGATAAATGGATAAAAATCACACATATTGTAACCGTTTTATCTTATAAATTGAAATTATAACTGACAATGGGGCGGGTTTGGACCGAATCGACCTTGATCCAAACCCTTTTAGCAAATTCTAAAACCCCATCCAAACCCGCAGGGTTTTGAATAATCAAACTCATACCCTTATCCATCGAATCAAAAGATATCCAAACCCTTCCCGTAACCCGTAGGTTTTTTGAATAATCAAACACATTTTACTTAAATCATAAAACCACATTTGTTAAATAAAACAAATCTTGATTTAGAAAACACATTATGTACTCGAAGAGTTTCGATTGGAATTAAAATCATTATTGTAGTTATTTTCGATTGGTTTTTGACCCTCGATTGCATTGATAGAGAATAGCAATTACAAACTTTCTTCTGGTTGATAAATGAATTTAGGGTCCGTTTGATTTCCTTTCTAATTGGGTCCAAAGGGTGGACTGGGACCAAAAAACTCAATTGGAATGTTTGACACATCTTCTAAAAGGTTGGACTCGGTCCAAAACTTAGACTCGGTCCAAAGAAATGTATTGATTCGGTCCCTTATTCTAGAGTGAAGGACCGGGACAAATCGGCTCCAAAATAACCAATTCCCGTTATGCCCTAAACAATCGTCTACACAAAAGCACAGATCGGAAGAAGAAAGTGATTTCTAGCCGTCGTATTCCTCCACAGCCTCCGTCCTCTTCCTCTGTCGGTTTCCTCCGATCACGCAACCTCCGACCATCCTTCCTCCAACTCAGGTGCGACCTGCTCTTTCTCCTGCGTTTTTATTGATTGATTACCTTAATTGTTTCCTAGATAAGATGTTCTTCAACAACGTTTTTGAATTAATCATGTTTATGTTCTTACTAAATTCCAGAACTTTTTTTTTCTGTTTAATGAAGATTATGATGCTTCTTGCACCATTATGATTTTTGTTTCTATAAGAGGATCTCACTTTGTAATATCAATTACACATATTAAAATAACCTTTTGTTTTCATTTTTTATTAGCATCGCCATATTGAAGGTTCTATTTCTATGCACCAGAAGGCACATGTGGAGACTACTAGATGTGTGAAAAGGAAATTATGACTTAACATATGCCAAATCAATTTTTAGAGTGCCACAAAAAGCATTCCTTTCATCTTTCATACAATAAAAAAGGATTAACCAACGGAAAGAATCCACCAAAGAGAAAATCCACTAAAGGGGAAAGAAGCTTATCTAGAGGCATGAAGATCAATGGCTCACATTATGAATCTGTTTATGGGTCTCATGATGAATTAAAAACAAATTATGCATCCACTGTGACAAATGGTTAGGAATATGATATTGATGTACAAGATGTATTTATAGAATGCATTCAGGTATCATTTTAGATTTTAGGTGGTTTTGTATGTTTTTGTTTATATTTATGTGTTATTTTACTATAAAATTAGTTGCACTTTTGTCATAGAAAAATTTATATGCATTTTCTTATGGTTTGAAACAAATATAAGGGCATTATTTTCTTATCCATCGAGGGGTAATATGGTCATTTTTCATCTTTTTGAATGTTTTTATAAAAAATGTAATGTTATAAAATAAATGGTAAATCATAAATGAATTTTTATAAAAAAAATGTTGTGTGAGGGTAATATAGTCATTTTGTACAGTCAGTCAGATGCAAAATCAAACAACAAGTTTCAATCAGAAGTTAATTCAGTCAGAACTTCTAACCCAGTCAGCTTCAAACTCAGTCAGCTCTAACCCAGTTAGGAACTATCAAACGACCCCACTGATTTATAAATGAAATTGATGATTACATGATGAAATATAAATGAAATGACATCATGATTCTTGGGAGAATACTGGAAGGCTGGAAATTGAGTCTTCGAGTCCTATGTAAAAACAGTTAACTCTTTGGCCTTTTCTCTTTAAACTTTCGATTGAAATTTATAGTAAAATTTAGATAGTATAAAATATAAATGTATAATTCTAAAATTTATATGGGCCGGGTTATAAATGGAGCGGATCGGTGATGATCCATACCCGACCCTTTTAATCAAAGGGTTAGCGGGTACGGGTCGTTAACGGGTAAACGGATCAAAAACTATGCTCCAAACTCGTATAATTGTTAAGGGTTTGGATTGGATCAGGGTCAAAACTCGCACCATTGCCAGGTCTAATTGAAATCAATGAATATTCATTGTTTATATTAGGTGATGATAATAAAAATTTCAAATATATATAAAACTAAATTCTTGATTGAAAAGATTGTGTATGTTGATTGAAGTTTTTTCATAAAAAAATTTGCATTTATTTGTTTTAATTATTTCATATTCTTATACGAGCGCTACTAAGAATATATAAACATAACGAACTAATCAATGTCAATAAAAACTTTTAAAACTTGGTCACAAAATCATTTAACTTGGAGATTACACTAAACGAAAATACCTATGAAATTGGTTATGCGCCGAACTCGAACTCATATTCTAGAAAATAATCTTCATTCCTTTATTTTATTTTTTATCGAGCATGTTAGGTCATCGATTTTGACATTTGGTTTATTGAGTTACTAACATGTGTTATTACACTCACCGTCTACGGCCATTGTTCTCCACTTATCTTCCACCACCGTCTCTGATCCTTCCCTACCACCGGCCTTCTCCTCCAATCGGGTGACGAATCTGAGTGGTCAAAGGCGTAGATTCCATCTTCCATTGGAGAACATCTGGCGCCTTCGTTTCAGTTTCAGGTTAGAAAATTGATTCCCCTCCCCCCTCCCATTCCAGCATATACAAACAGATTGTACTCTATTTTTTTTGGCGATTTGGGTTTTGTGAGAAATGTGGACTGAGTTTTATTAGATAACAGATGGAATTTCGCTTTGGGCGAAACTGATCACGCCTCTATTTCTTCATATTAATTCTTAATTGAATACCCTAACTTTTTAAATCACCATTGCCAGAAAATGATGTCAGAAAAGCCCTTGATCACCACTCTTCACCACCATCACTGCAAACGAAATCTGGCCAACAAAAGCCAGGTGGCTGGAAGTCCACGCCTTATGTACTAGATAACAAGAAACAAAAACAATTAGGTTAAATATTCATTTATGCTTTTGACTTTTTAATAATCATATTTGATCTTATATTTACAAAAAAGAACGAACTAAATTTTGTAAGATTAAGCTATTTTCAAGGGTAAGACCAAATTTGAAAAATGAAATTCATATTTTGCTATTTACCACAAGCTGACCTAAAATTACTAGCTTCATCTAAGAAGTATGTAAATCAACTCCTTCATAACTTTGTTAATATTGACATGTACATTTGATCAGTTTTAATAAAATTTGTATGCTTTGTTTTAAGACTGATTATAGTGCTTTATCTTTTTAGGTTATGTCAACAATGCTAAACGGTAGTCGACAATCATTATAAGAGTAAGCTACTTAGGCACAAAGTTGGTTTACTTATCTAATTTTTATTCACTTTTAATTTCAGTTTGTGAGTGGTTGAAAAACCCTAGCCAGAAGACGATAAATAACGAGCCAAGTGATCCAAATAAATAGCCATCTTCAGTTTGACAATTTCTTTTATTGAGCATACAAATATAGATGATCAATAATTCCCTGGGATTTAGTCGGAATTAGAATTGAATTTTATTCCAATCTGTGTTTTGTTGCAAATGAGGTCGATATTGAATTCATAAAATCATATGGAAAGGTATTTCCATCATCTCATAATTATATTATCTTCTTTATCTTTTAACTTTTAATTGTTTGAAGAAACTAACTACGTTTATGTTACATGATGTGATGAATTGCACTTATATTTTTTTACCAACTTTATATCATTTAATTCTTTTGCATTCAATCTTTTGGCCAAGAAAACTTTACTTAAGTCCAAAATTGCATAAGTTGAAATTTGTTCAAAAAACACTTGCTCATGTGAATTGCAATTTGATTTTCTGAAAAGATAAACAACAATCGTTGTAATATTCACATTGATAAGAATTTAATTACTATTATTTTGTACTTTGATAAATCTATTTAATTTAATGACATCCAAAAACCAAAAGACACTACCATTAGCTGCGGATTTTTTGCTATTAGTTTTGATTTTTTTACCATAAAACAAATTTCATTGCTATTTGTTGCATTTCTTCATATTTAGGTGGTAAATGTGCTAAATAGCAATGTACTTTACATTTGGTGAACTTCCCATATTTGGGTGGTGAATGAACCAAATAGCAATGTAGTTAGGTTAAAATCAGACTATTTACAGGATGGTATTTTTTCTTATAAACCATCGTTTTGGTTAATATTCATTATTCATCACATTGTATGTAGGAGGAAAAGGAATTCGATGGTGGCATTACTATAAAAAAGAAGTAGGGAAGTCCATTCAAATCACCAGTCAACACATCCTTTGCAAGTCTCAATGGAAGACAATATAGCTTTCATGTTTGGATGTATCCAGATAAGAATTGGAAATTATAAATATATAATAAACGATAATTAGATCAAATACAACTTATGTCATAGCTTCCATCTAAGCTAATAAATTCAAGTTTCAATGTTTCCTTTACCAATTCTAATCCCGCAACGCGGGGTTTCTTCTCTAGTTTGAAAAAAAAAGAGTTCACCTTGGCTAAAAAGACACCCCATATTACCATATAGACACCCTAATTAAAATTTAAAATATTTTTATTGGTTGAAATTTTATTGTTTTCGAAAAAGCTGATTATAGAAAGTTGATTATAGGTTGACTTTTTATAAAAATGATACTACTTCCGTTCCAAAATTATAGTCTATATTTCATTTTCGGTTTGTCCTAAAATAATAATCAATTTCAAAAAATAAATAACATTTTTACCAAAATACTCCCTTATTATTACAGAACCAACTAAACATTTAATGAAACATTAAATGCAAAGTGATGATAAAATTGTCATTTTTTTTTTTTTTTTTTTTTTTTTTATCCGTGGACAATAATTTTAGGACGACGGAGGGAGTAATAGGCATTAATGCACACATTGACCGTTATGTTCCTTTGTGAACAATAAATATATGTGGTAAATGTGGATTAATGTCTTGGAGACGTGTTGTGTATTACTCAATCATTTTCCTCCAAATATCATTAATTGGGCACAGTAAATGCACCAAACCGGCGTGACTCATGGCTCTTCTGCTACGTGTTCTTCTCTGCCTCTTCGAGAACACCACCACCGCCTGTGCTTCTATCTCTACCTGTTTGCCTCTCGATTGAATCCTTCACCGTCTCTCTCCTTAGACTTCTTCTACTATTCTTCCAAATGATCCCGCTTCCGACGACGCCCTTTACTACGTGTTCTTCGTCGGGTTACTCTAACTCTACCTTGGTCACCGCCTCCGGATCCTTCCCCACTGCCTCTTTACTGTTGATCAGGTAAGAATATCTTGCAACTGTGTACTTTTTCACTTTCAGGCGTAAATTTTGGATGAAATTGGATTTTTAATCAGTTCTCAACTTTTGATTTTAGGGTTCAATTTTGTTTTTTGTTAGTTCTCAACTGTCATTCATCCTAACAAGGTTTCTTTCTTTTTCCTATTTCTTCAATCATAACTATTTTGGTAACATTAAACCAATTTCCCTGTAAATTTTTCGAAATTATTCCATATTTTTGGCGTGAATTTCAGGCCCTCTCTCACTCTCTTCAGCAGAACAAAGAGATGGATGATATTCGAGCCTTTGAATCTGAACAAACCGAGTTTCTAAATTAAATTATCAATGAAGATCAATCTTTCTTCATATACATCGTATCAAGGTATGTTGGCTTCCCTTTCTCTGCATTTACTTAGTTATTGACTTTGTTTGAAAGGTTTTAGTTTGTGAATTTGATTTTCTTTGTTTATTGTTCTAATTTGGCTTTTTGGTGTATAATGGGTGAATGTAGTTGTTGTTGACGGCTTGGTGGATCTTAATTCTTAAGGCTAATCATTTTGTGATGTACACCAATGAAAAAACCATGATTGGAAGTCGTTGAAGATTGAGAAAGAAATCAGATGTGTACAATAAGGTATTAATGATCCATTTTTAACAGTCTTTTCTGAAGGCCATTCTTTTGACAATCACATGGAAGAATCCTGAAGTACTTCATCATGGTATTAATTATGGTTACTTTTAGATTTCAAATTCGGTTTATTTTTATTATTTTGCCCAAGTCAGATACCAACAGTATAGGTGGAACTGGAGTAGCCAAGTATTTGAAACTAACTTGAAACCCTTTTTTTCTTAGGAGCCTGTAACTTGAGAAGTTTTCATATTAGGAAAGAAGCTTACTTACTTTGGAATCGCTTATTGAAAATGTGGTTTGTGTAGGTGATAAAGATATTATATTAGCAACCAGGGATATTTCGTTAGACTATCACATTTTATTATTGGTTAGATGCAGAAATAAAATGTACTTTTATTAATGTATTTATTTTAGCATCTTAATTATAATTTCAATTCTTTGTTTTACAAAGAAGGCTATAATCTTTTATTAAATGTTATATGAGTTAGGAACCTCTAATTTGATTCTTAAATGCATAAAGCAAAAAATTGTGAAAAATGGGCAGCCAAGCCCATAATACCAGATCATGTTTCTTTCACCTTAGTTTCAGCATCCCTGCTTCTGTTCAGATCAGCCCATGATGATACTTTTTAATAATTATTTTTAGGAAAATGACTTGAAAAGATAATGAGGTATCAAAATTGTAAAAAAAAAAAAAAAAGACCATTATTGTTATTTTAGTTTAAAAAAAAGGACCAGGTTACCTGCTAGGTAACCATCAGGTTTGTTAATGTGTTTGTGAGCCGGCTAAAAACAAATTTGAAAAAAAAAAATTGAAACTTTTGAGGGACTAACATTTTGTACTTCTTCATAACCAAGAAAGTGATCCATAATAATGAAAATTTCAAATTTCAGTTGGATACATTAGTAACCTGTCTTTCTTTTTTTAAATATTTAGAATTTAGATATTTAATCATCACATTATAACCCGAATTGAATCTTAATTTGTTGTTTTGGCTTTGTGAAATTTTGTATTTACAGAAATGACCGGTTGTTGGGAAGCATGCTTTTCATATGAAAACAACACTGATGGGATTCTGGGATGGGTGATTATATTTACTTTAGGACAAAGAGATAGAGCACAGAACAAAACTCATCATAGTTTCATTTGTTTTGGAATTTATTTTTCAAAAATTGTTTACATGACCATTAAAGGGGCTGTTTTACTATTTTTGTAATATCTACTCTTAAGTGCAATCCACTTTCGTATATAAGTGCATTATGTTGACCCATTGAAACAAAAAACAAAACCCTTCTTGACCCATGCAAAGCATGGGTCCTTCCCTAGTTCTAGATAAATAATTTAGCATTTAGTGTTGGGAAATTGTCATAAAAGCCCTTAAGTTTTCCAAAAAGTGACGGTTTTACCCTTGGATGAGTTTTGGGGGCATTAAAGCCGGATACTTTCATTAAACCTATCAAATATCTCATTTAACAAGTTGGACCCTTTGTAGCCGGTTACCATGTGCTGATTTGACACTTAATTGACATGTTGGCACAGACGTTACGCCGTTATCACAGGGTATGTGTAATTTCTTTGAAGATTGTGTTATTACAGTTCTTTGTTCTTCAAAGGTTAACGAATAACGACAATATGTGTTTGTGTTTTTTTCAGGTTATGATGGATTGGGATTCAGAACACGAAGGTAACACAGACCCATTTTTTGGTTTACGCGAGCCTTTCTCTGGTCTTAATGAGATGGATTTTGAGCTTCATGGCATCTACATGGATCATGAACCAGACGAAGAGTTCATTACTCCACTAGACAAGTGTAAGGATGCATTTCTTAATGTGTTACTAAGTGATGAAAATATTAGAAACTCTAGTTTGACTAATGATGTAAGAGCACAAGTGTATCATCGTGGTGACTTGCAAAGTGATGAAGATGAAGAAGAGCAAGAACAGGTGATAAACAAGTACAGATTACATGATCCAAAAACAAGATGGGACAAAATGGAACCAAAACTTGGTGACATTTTTGAGAATGTTACACAACTGAAGTTTTGTATCCAAAACTACGCAGTCCACAATGGGTATCAACTTTACTTTGAGAAGTGTGACAGTACAAGAATAGTTGTAAGATGTGGGAAAAGAAATGAGGATAATTGTTGCCCTTTTAGACTATATGCCTCATGGATGTTCAATGAAAGATCTATTCAAATCAAGACTTTAGAAGCTACTCATGTTTGTGGTAGGAAGTTCAAACTTGGCTGTATGGTTACTCCTGAATGGATAGGTAGACACTACATAACTGAAATTGCAAATAAACCTAAGGTGAAGCTTAAAGAGATGATTACTGACATCAGACAAAGGTTTAGGTGTGCCGTGTCTATAGGCCAATGTCGTAGGGCAAAGAAATGGGCCAAGGAGCTAATTGAAGGTAAATTGATTGAACATTATGCCAGAATATGGGATTATGCACAAGAGTTGTTAAGATCCAATCCAGGTTCTACATGTAAGGTGTGTGTTACTGTCAATCCAGATGGGATAAACTATTTTCATAGGTTTTATATTGGTTTCAAAGCTATATGTGAAGGCTGGAAAAGAGGGTGTAGAAGAGTTATTGGTTTGGATGGGTGCTTTCTGAAGGGAGCAGTAAAGGGTGAGTTGTTGACAGCCATAGGTAGAGATGCCAATAATCAGGTCTACCCAATTGCTTGGGCTGTTGTCGATGTTGAGAATAAGGCTAACTGGACATGGTTCCTTGAGCTTCTAAGGGATGATTTAGATCTTGATAGTGGAAGAGGTTTGGTAGTGATATCAGATCAACACAAGGTAAAATTTAACATACTTGTCCTCTACTTAATTGCATAATTATCTTATTACATATTTGTCCTCTATTAAACTAATTAAATGGTTGTCTGGTAGGGTCTGCTTGAATCTGTGAAAGATATACTGCCTCATGTTGAACACAGGAATTGTGCTAGGCACATTTATGCCAACTTTAGAAAGGCTTTCACAGGTGTGGAGTATAAGAAGTTGTTTTGGGCTGCCTCTATGAGTTGCACAGAAGGTGACTTCAAGAGGCATATGGAAAGCATCAAGAAATTGAGCCCTTCTGCATATGAATATTTGATGTCAAAGCAACCAGAAACATGGTGTAGAGCCTATTTTGGAACAGGCTATGCATGTGAAGCAGTTGAGAATGGGATCTCAGAGTGCTTCAACTAAATAATATTGGATGCTAGGAAAAAACCTTTGATCACTATGCTTGAAGAGATGCGGATTTATATCATGGACAGGTTTGCTTACATGAATGTGGAAAGTGAAAAGTGGAATTCAAATGTTTGTCCAAAAATTTTGAAAAAAATGAATAGATTTGGAAAAAATATGAGGTACTATTTTATGCTTTCTAAAACTTATCTTAATCATTAATTATTGTTACTAACTAGATACTTGATTGTAGGTTCTGGGGAATAATTCATAGTCAAGGGCATGTGTTTGAGGCCAGAAGAGGGTGTGACAGTTATAGGGTGGACTTAGATGATATGACATGTTCATGTAGGCTGTGGGATTTGGCTGGCATCCCTTGTGTGCATGCAAATGCAGCAATTAATTTTATCCATCAAACACCATATGCATACATCAATGCATACTTCTCTAAAGATAAATTTAGGCAATGTTACTCAACAAACATTGAACCTGTTAATGGCAGCAATCTTTGGGCCCAAACTGAATACATTAAGCCATTGCCTCCAATGTCTAGGAGGATGCCTGGTAGGCCTGCTACCAAAAGAAAGAGGCATGCCAGTGAGAAGGAGAGCGAGTTTTCAACAACAAAAGTGAAGGTTGCAAGAACTACCAGATGTGGTAATTGTTTGGAATATGGTCATAACAAGAGGGCATGTAAGAATGAGAGAAAACAATATGTGCCTCCCCCACCAAAGAAGACAGGAAGGCCAAGAAAACATCCCATCCCCCATGTGTCTACAAGCCCTGGTCAACCAAATGTCCCAAGTCAACCCCTAAGTCAACCTTCATGCTCTAACACAGTGAGGAGGAGTCCAAGAAAACATAACACATTGACGATGAGTCCTAGAAAACATCAGCAACAGGCAGGTTCTAAAAGATTTAGGAGAAATAGTATTGATGTACCAAGGAAGAAGTTGTGCACAGGGAGAGGTGGTGGGAGGATTGGTTCTGCAACTATAGGTACTTAAGAGAGTGTGGTTCAACAAGTTCCAGTTGTTGATGAGGGTGAAAATGTGATGGGTGATAATGTGGGTCAAAGTGTGGTTCAACAAGTTCCAGTTGTGCAGGAAGTTCCAGTAATTCATATTCAAGATGGTCATATGATGCAAGAAGGAGAAAGTAGTCAAGCAAGTGTGATGGAAGGTAGTGACACTTTTGGGCAAGTAGGGTCCAGTATTGGTAGGAAGCTTAAATCAATAAATGATGAAATTGAACAAGGTATTGATGCAATTTTAGAAGGGGTTAACTTCACAAACAAAACAAAGTCCAGTCACTAAATGGTGACAATGAGGTGGAAGATAATCAGTTTATTGAGTTTACTGAGGGCAAAGAGGATGATATTCTCCCAGAGAAGATACAATTAGGACCTGAAGAAATTGCTAGTATGCTAGAAGCTGGTTATAGCATGGCAGAAATAGAAGCTATGCCAGGGGTACAAGTGGAATTGGATGATTCCCCACCAGTTGAACTGGTAAGACCTATTATCTTTTATTAATTAACAATTTTTCTGGTGATTCTTGTGACCTAATTATATCTTTTTACACTAGGATGTAAATGATTTCATTGATGGTCATCATTCTGATGATGATGTTGGTCTGGATGGTGGAGCTGAAGGTGCTGGAGATGAAGCTGCTGGTGATGGTGGTCTGGATGATGATGTTGGTCTGGATGCTGGACCTGATCATGGTGTTGGATATGAAGCTGCTGGTGATGGTGATGAAGAAGGTCCTGGTGGCGGAGATGTTGATGATGGTGATGGGCCTGAAGGTGATGGTGATGAAGAAGGTCATGGTGGTGGAGATGTTGATGATGGTGAGGAAAACCAGGGTGATGATGAAGGACATCAGGTTGTCCCAATCGTTAGGAAGAGAACAAGGAAAACTTCTGAGAGGATTACCAAGATAAAGCTAAGGAAGGGTGTCTATGACAAAGATGGTGGTGGTTCTTCTTCTGTAAAGCCAATCAACTTGGAGTAGTTTGTTAGCAAGAAGGGGGATGGGGGTGTAGGGGGAATGGTATAGGTTGCCGCTTTTGTAAACTTTGTTTTTTGGCATTTTGATTGTAGCATGCATCCAATTGTTAATTTTCTTACCATTTAGGTTGCCTTTTTTATGCATTGTTTAGGCATTTTGGTACAAATGGATGGCTGCTACATATTGGTAGTATGTAATTAAACTATATGTAATGGATACCCCCCCTTCTATATTATGTTCAATCTTTTAGAATTGTGACCATTCACTAATTATTTCTGCAATATACCATTTTATGCAATGTTATTCAAACTTGCAAATACACACCAATTGTTACCATTCAAACTTGCAAATACACACCAATTGTTCAGTCTTTTAGAATTGTTACCATTCACCAAAACACTTGTTACCATTCACCAAATCTTACCATTCAACAACTTGTACTACAAATTTATACCAATTACCATTTTAATTCAATCTAAAACAAAACAAACCAAATGTTACCATTCACCAGTTGTTACCATTCAGAAATTTATACCAATTACCAATTGTTAATTCAATATACTTACAAAACAAACCAACTTGTACTCTAGTTAACATCCATACATTAGAAATTAACATCCATACATTGCAAACCAACTTGAATTCCAGTTAACATCCATACATTAGAAATTAACATCCATTAACATCCATACATTAGAAATTAACATCCATACATTGCAATTAGCATCCACACATTACAAATTACAATCCTAACATTACATATACCTAACAAACTATCAAATACCATCAAAAGCTCAAAAGCTACATATTTCAAGATCACAATACTGCTCCCTTCAGAAAAGCCACCCTTTACTACTTCCTTCAGAAAACACCCTTTATTGCCATTAAATCTTGCATAACACTAGAACAAGGATGAACAATATAGCCCCTAACAAAACAGCAACCATCTGCATTAATGCCATCATTTGTCGCTGCTCTGTAATGCGATTTGACTCTGGCATCATGTCTTGCTTTTGAATTCCTTCATCGTCAACCCATCTGAAAAACCCACAACCTCCTTCTCCCTACATAATTAGGTCAATGCATAATACCCTTACTGCAATCCTGCTAAAGAAAAGGGAAAATGATTTTTACCTTATAATTAGGGCACCCCCAAAATTTCTTGCCTGGATTTTCTGGTGTGCGTGAAACAAACACAGGGCATAAATCTTCACACCAACACTTAACTTCGATCTTCTTCTTGAATCGTGAATGTGAATTCGAGCTTGATTTTGCAGAAGATGTTGGCATTTTGCGTGGGAGAATATTTTGCGTGGGATATTGCGGTGCGAGAGGATGCAAGAAACAGGGGGGTGGGGAAGGGTTATGTGGGGAGAGGGTTGGGGCCCACGTTGTTTGACATGTCAATTAAGTGCCAAATCAGCACATGGTAACCGGCTACAAAGGGTCCAACTTGTTAAATGAAATATTTGATAGGTTTAATGAAAGTATCCGACTTTAATGCCCCCAAAACTCATCCAAGGGTAAAACCGTCACTTTTTGGAAAACTTAAGGGCTTTTATGACAATTTCCCTTTAGTGTTTGGTTAAATTTCAAATTTGTGATATGATACTTGAATTGATACGATAATCATAGACCCATGTGTATTTGTAGAGAACATTATGATTGATATTTTAGTGTCATCAAGTCACTTAGTATTAATCATTATTAACTCAAGATGAACCGAGTTCAATTTTAGCTATAATGCAAGTTTAGAGGTACGAAATGTATGTTTGAATAAACTAAATTACTCTCGAAAACATCGAATAAACTAAATTACTCTCGAAAACATGGGGTCAAATACAAGTGCCCTTAGTCAGGTTCCAAGGGGCATCGCCCCGGTGGGGTCCAACGGGTCCAACGGGCAATCTTCAATGTTAGTGGCAAAGCTAATAGGGGCAGTTGGGTTTTGACGCCTCACCCACCCCCACTCCCACCCCCGAATTAATATCTTTTACTTGGACAATAAGTTCACAACTAACTAACCCTAAAGTCTATCATCCATTTAAGCATCTATTGTTCTAAATTTAATATCTTTTTACTTTATTTTATTTTAAAATTTTGGCTCCAACCTTGATGGTGGTAGGTAATGATTGACATTAATAGATGGTGGTGATGGTGTGACCTATCTGTATTAATATATTTTCTTTTATTAATAAATAATAAAAAATGAAAAAAATATAAATGGCAATATAGCTTTTTTTCATGTCTATAAGGGACCAAAAAATGCAACAAAATTAAACAGTAAGGACGATCCAAGTGCAAAAAAAAATTAGAGACCAATGTGTATTTTTTACAAACCACAAAGACTATTTTAGTAATTTGTTTTAAAATGTTTAATTTGGATTAACTAAATTAATTTTCATCATTTCATTATTATATAAGATATGAGTTCCGACTGATTAATTTCTATTTTGTGTATGTGAAAAAAAGATAGTGTTTCATGCCTTCAATTATATTATCTTCAACTTATAATCATTTTATATGTAGTAAAATATGATAATATTAATGTGTTACTCTGTGTTTGAGATTTCATTTTGAAGTTGAAAAAGACTTTTGTCAAAAAGAACTTATTGACAAAATGTAACACCTCAAATCGCAGACCAAAATTTTCATTTTTAATTTACCAAAAACAAGTTTCACAAACCAAGTTATCAAACACATAATTATCCAAAACAACCATTATCACAAAATATCATAGTTTCTCAAACTGTCCCAGTAACAATCCTCCCAGCGAGTGTGTAGAGTTAGACATTCGCCTTCCCGCGGTCCTCATAAGTATTGAAACACATAAATTAACAATTGTAAGCACGAAACTTAGTGAGTTCCCCAAGATACCACATATAACACAACATAAATAAACAACTATGAGTTATCAGCAACCCCGGGGACTATCAGCAGTCCCAGTGGGCAACAACACACCCTATGGGTTATCAGCAACCCTGGAGACTATCCGTAGTCTCATTCACACATAACAACATAATACATAATAACAGTAGACCCAGCTGGTCATCACAAATACAGGTATTCTACCACACGGGTAAGAATAAGTGAGGAGACTCACCTGATACTAACGACAAGTAAATCTCACACCCGAACTGTCGGAACTAGACTCCGCCTAGTCAACGAAATAATTAATCCTAATTAATATTTAAGGTCCAAAGCTCAACTCACGAGTCCAAATCTCACAACTAAGTCCTCTAAGAACAAAAAGACTATTTTGCACTTCTCATGGGCCAAAACCCTAAATCTTGACCAAAAGTCGAAAGTCAAATGCCCAGCGTATACGCTGGGCGTACACTTCTTTACGCGGGGCGTACAACGTGATCAGTGACCCATCGTGGACGGAACCGGCTATGCCCAAGAGTACGCCGGCGTACTCCGTCTCCTTCAACTTTCACCAACTTTGTGTCGTAATCCTTTAAGACATCTAACCCAACTTTAGATCTGACCATCCTAAGGTGTCTTAATCCATAAAGTCGTCGACTTTAAACCTTTGTATGGCTAGGAAGGACCCAATGCAACAAAATTTAACTTCCAACACACTCTAAGCTACTTTACTCATGCATGAGCCATAGGGAATGATCAAGCAACCATTTTTATGAATCTACACGTCCTAAAATGCATGAAAGTATAACTAAAATTCCCTGGAGTGCTCCAAACTCATAAAGGTCCAATCTTGGGGACAAAATGCTCATAAAACTTCAACCATGTAGATGAAATAGAAAACTCATCAAGGTATAAAATTTATACCTGAAAAAGATGCACAAAGAGGAAAGGTTTCTGGATCTACAAGCTTGCAAGCAACCATTCCTTCTTCTCTGGTCTCCTTCTTCAACAATATGCACCAAAATCACTCAATAAGCTCCCAAAACTCACATAAACAACTTAGACTCAGGATTAGGGTTTGAGGAGGGAATGGTGGATGATAAGGATGGTCAAAAGGGGATATAAGATTGTTTAAACAGGGAGGAACCCTTAAAATTAGAGTTTGGAGTCTGGGATAATACGCCCGACGTACCACACGTACGCTGTCACAACTAGCATTCTAGCTAGGAAATTTTGTACTCTTGTAAACATTATCTACTGTAAACCCGTAAACCCTAATTCATGTTGTGTTTGAAATTCAACCCACTTTCATGAAACTTAACTTTTTGGGCCATAATGGGCCTAAAATGGATTGGTTTACCTTTAATGGGCCTTATTGGGCCATGAGTAATTTAAATTCCTTATTGGGCCATAACTAACCTAATTTGATTATTATGGGCCATAAAACCTAACCTTTTAAGTCATATGGGCCGTGAGACGCCTTAGAGGCCCAATGGGCCGAAAACTATCAAGTTGGGCTTCACATTTCGAAACTCAAACACTAAGGCCCAAATCTTTTCTTTCCTCCTCTCTCTCGGCCCAAGTAGAAGACAAAAAAAAGAGAAATGTAGAATTATGAGGGCAAGACACCTCATAATTATCCATTGAAAACACATGCACCAAGCTCATACTCCCATGCATGTCACCTCATCTCTCACCTCCTCTCTCTTTATCTCCTACTCTCGGCCAAGGAAGAACACACACACACACACAATTCACTTAAAGTTTTCTCTCAAGAACTCACAACAACTTCTCCTCTTCTTCATCAAAATTCGAAGATCTTGGGCATTACAAGTAGGATTGTCCACAAAAATCATCATACTAGGTAAGTTGATGCTTGGATCCATGATCTAGATTCTTTGTTTTATCAAAATTCTCTTCTCAACTCATATAAACTCATGATCATCATCCTAGAAACCCCTAAGATCGAGATCCACCCAAGAAGGCTTGCTAGGACCAAATTTTCTTCATTTCTTTCTTCAAAACCGTGAGCAACAAATCAAGGTGAGTTCATACCCCTCTATTTTCGGTTTTCATATGTTTTATGGGGGAGAATGCAAGTAAAATGTGAAGATCTATGTGTATTTGTATGATATGTGTGATTTCTTGTGTTTTTGTGGTATATATGTGCTAAAAATGAAAGATAAATTCGAGATCTATAGTTC